CCGTTATCCTTTACTAACTAGTCTAGGAGTCCCTGCAGTTTTCTTTCTGTGTCTGCTATCAACACAGTGTCATCTGCATATCTCATAGTGCTAAGATAGTGCCCACCAATAATAAATCCTAGTACAATTTCTAGTCATTTAAAGATTGTCTTGCTTTTAAAAAGTTAAATAAATCTGACGAGGAGAAACCCTTCTATTTTTGTGTACTTCAATTTCTCTCTGTGTAGAGGTTTTTTTCTCCCAGTATATATTTTGGATTAATGTCTTTCCAGGAAAAAGTGGAAAGTTTGTAAAAGGTGCCAATAAATCTTAAATTAAGAGAACCCTTAGAAGAAAGTGTAAAATCTCTTACGCGTCTATAAAGAGAAATATTTGCAAAATTCATAATTCCAATAATTCATTATAAATTAAACAAGAATTTTGTAACATACATAAACTCAGAATTAGTTTTAAATTATGAGAAACCTTAAAAGAATGAATAAACCCCATTTTCCAGTGTATAAAAAGGAATATTTTCATTTTAAACTTTGATATGCATTTTAAATTAAGAAAACTTTTAAAAGAAAGAGAAATGTATGTATTTTTACCATGTGATACAGAAATTTCCAAAGCCTTATAAATTCTATAATTTCATTTAAATATAAAAGGAACCTTTAGAAATAAAAGAGTAAATAATGTATCTTCCGGTGAATGTGAGGTTAAGTATTTTTTAGTGTATGCAGCGGAACGTTTGCAACATTCGTAAATTATGCAATTTGTTTGAAATTAACAGAACCTTTTGAAGAAAGAGTAAATTTTGTATATACCAGCATATAAAGCTGAAAATTACAATCCAACAATTCATGATTAAAAAAAGATTAAAATTTATATTTTGCAATGAATAAGATAGACTTAATTGCAAAATTCATAAAAATAAATTCAAATAAGCGACGACTTAAATGAAATAATATATTCTGTATTTTCTGGCATATAAGGTGAAAATTCATGAATCCAATAATTGATTGTAAATAATTGGAAAAAGGAGTAAGTTACTTATTTTCCGGCGTGAAAACTGGTCAAGTTTTCAAAATATATAAATACACTGTAATTCATTAGAGAACAAAAAGCTAATTTTCTGTTACGTCTTCATTCTATTAAATGAAGATAACACAATCAAGACAAATGCGGTTTGGAGTTGATGTAGTCTTGTTGTCTTTTTACAGCCAAGGTTCACCCTTTACAAGGCATGAGGGCCACCCTGGGTAGAGGGTTACGTTTGGAGGCCAATTGTATGTATAGGAGAGAGGATGATAATGGTCAGCCTTAGCCTTGAGCAGGTTAAGATTGTAGTGACCTGGGAAACATCCTGTTGGGAATCAGTTCCACAAGGCAGTGGTTTATAGGAAGAAGCTGAATAAGTAAGTAGAACTTCTCACTGATGGAATACAGAGGGAATGTGAGTGTTTTGCTACTATGTATGTGACATGGTGTATTTTTGCTGTGAAGGGTTGTTTTCACAGGACCAGGGAATGTAGTTTGTCCGAGTACTTTCTGCAGAAGTAGTGGTAGAGCAACAAGAGACTTTCCACATCCCGCCTGTGGGAGAGACATTGAAGGGTGGAGAATAATTTGTCACCCACAAGGGCCCAGAGATGCTTTTGAACTCTACCAAGACTGGAGAGTAAGGTCTGATCAGTTCCTGCCCAAATATAACAACAGTACTCTATTTTTGGGGCTGACCTGGCTCTTGTAAAGGGGTAGAGGATAGCAGAAGGAGTTAGGTACTTACTGGAGAAATACAGAGTGAACCATTTTACCTGCAACCTTAGCAATGGATTGTATGTCCGAATTCAACTTCATGTCAGGTGTGAGTTTAAAGTCCAAGTCTTTCAAGGCATGGTGCTCCCCCAAGAGGACATCCATTCATCCTGATTGGTGGTAGTTAGGGTCAGATCAGCAATGATAGGATGTAACTAGCTTGGTCTTTGTGGCATTCAATGTAACCAGCCAGTTTTTACCTGATTGGGTAGTTTGTGCTAGACCGGAAGAGAGATCAGTCACTAAATTCTGACCATCAAGAGTTTTAGGAGGTGCATATATTATATCATCAGTATAGATGTTAACAAATAATCTGAGTATATTCTTAGGCTATATTCATTAGTATATTCTTAGAGTATATTCATTTATGTAGATCAAAAAGAAAATTGGTCTGAGGAGTGACCCCTAGGGGATGCTTGCATTGACTTCTAGGTCTTCAGAAGATTCGCCATTAATAGCTACCTTCCTGGACCTACCTGTTAGGACAGATTTTATGATTGAGAAAACCCTTCCAGTGATTCCATAAATGGAGAGCTTGTGTAGTAAGCCTTTGTGCCACACACCTTGTTGAAGGCCTTTGAGATATCTAGTGCAATGGTCCTCAAGGTGTGTTTGTCATCAAGAGCCTCACTGATTCTGTGAGTGATGGTAGTTAGGATGTCGGCAGTGGATCGGGCTGACTTGATGACACAGTGTTGATAGCAGATACAGAAAAGAAACTACAAGAATTTCTACACAAGGTATTGATAGAAAGCAAGAAAGGAAGAAACATTCACTGGGATGGAGGAGATTGTATGCCCAGGTTCTTGAAAATCAGATAAATGCTTGACAAATTCCACAGGATTAGAAAGGATTTCTCCTTCAAACAACAGTTGAATAGCTTTACTAGGATTGGAGATAATTCCAGGCTGATATTTTCGGACAAATCCAAGTCCTATTCTAGAGAGGTGTGTTCGTCTCCACAACATTTTTTTCCAGATTAGAATTAGAAATTTTTACAGAATCATAAAACCAGCAATTCATCTTAAATTCACTATGTATAAAAGAAAGAGTAATTTTCTCTTTTTTGATGTTTAAGTCTGAAGTTTTATGACATTCATAAATTTGGCAATTAAAGTGAAAGTTTTACAAGATTATTACATTCAGCAATTCATCTTAAATAACACTGATGTTTAAAGTGGGGAAAAAAATCATTTTTATCCAGTGGGGGAGTGGAAAGTTTACAAGAAATTAATCTCTTACATTAAGATGAAAAAAGTAAGCAAATTTTGTATTTTCCAGCATATGAAGCAGCAGATTTGAAAGTTAAGTACATCCTGGAATTGATCTGAAATAAGAAAAGGTACCTCCACTAATTCAATATACATAAGTTTTAAAATGAATTTAAAAAAATTAAAAACCATTCTTAAAGCTTAGTAAGTAAGTAAGTAAATGCTCTGTGGTGTTTTTCAAACATAAATTATATTGATCGGAATCAACTTTTTTTCATTAAAATCAATGAAAATGTTCATTTTTGACGCCTTTCTAAACAAAAGCTAATTCTCGGTTTTTAAATTTTTTGCAAAAATAAAATATATATTTCTGGAATGTTATTTTAGGATAATTAGCAAATTTAAAGTTAGATATGAAACAAATATTACTTATAGCATAAAATGTTGTATACAAACATTTAACTATGGGGACTTCATTTTTCAGATGTGTTAATCAATTTATTTACATTTAATTGACATTTTTAATTGATATTTTGCTAAAATAGTATTTGCAGTTATTCATCTTAAAGTATTGAAGTGTTGAGAAGAATAAAACAGACTCAGTATTTTCTGTTGAGAAGATGAAAGTGTTGAGAGGTTAATACATCCAGAAATTAATTTTATAAACAAATTCTTTATTTTGTGACGTATATTGTGGGTATTTTTCAAGGTTAATTTATCCAGAAATTCATTTTGAAATAATAGCACTTAGAAGTAAAAAGAAAAAAACTAAATAAATTATTTTTTTCCAATGACTAGGTCACAAAAAAACTGTTAGAATTGATAGGTAACCATGACATATTTGGGAAGGATATTAAAACAATCCAGAATTTATATTGGCAGCAAATTGCCTGAGTATGGGTATAAATTGAATTCAGTAAATAGACAAAAATAGAAAGGGATGTAAAACAATGTTGTATCTTCTCACTGGACTTATCCAATCTATACAGTGTACTGATTCTAAGAGAATTAGAAGTCCTACCAGGATTCATTATTGGTGGCCGCAAACTTAACAAAATAACCTATGCAGATGACACAGTGTTGATAGCAGATACAGAAAAGAAACTACAAGAATTTCTACACAAGGCATTGATGGAAAGCAGCAAGAAAGGAAGAAACATTTAATTATAAGAAGACAGAATATATGGTTGATAGCAAAAGGATGAGCCCAACATATAAAATACAAATTTGAGATACCAAAATCAATGAAACAGAATATTATTTAAATATCTGGGAAGTCTTTTAACAGATGATTGAAAGTGCAACACTAAAATCCCAAATTGAGATTGCCAAAGATGCAATTCAAAAGCTAAGCAAAGTATTAAGAAACAGAAAAAATCGTTAGAAACAAAGAAAAGAGTACTGAAGTGTTACTCTTCCTATATGGCAGTGAATGCTGGACAATATTCTCACAGATGAAGTAACAGAAATGTTGTTCTACAGAAGGATGCTGAGAATATCATGGACTGAATATGTGAACAACAACAAAGTTTTAGAGAAAATGGAAACAAAAATAACACTTAGCATCAGGAAGAGACAGTTGAAATGTCTAGGGTACATAATAAAGAAAGAGGGTTTGGAAAATTTGACACTCACAGGACATATTGAAGGCAAGAGAAACAGAGGAAAACAGCACTTAACAAGCTTGTGTAAATGGATGGTAGAACAGGGTTTAAGAAAGATGATAAAAAGGCAAAATTTATTAAAAGCTACAAAGGCAGGAAATTATGGAGAGCCATGATCATCAATGTCATGAAAGGACATGGCACATGGAAGAAGTGAAAACAAATGATTAAAAGGAATAAGATTGTCAAAATTTCCAAAAGAGGAAAATATAATCTGGTAAATTTTATCTATAAAAGCATACATACATTAATATATAGCTGTCCATTTTTGTTGCAGCAGAACCAGGATTAATCTCACACAAAGCAAGAATGAAAAATATTTACAATATCATGATTTGGTAGCATTAACAGCACTCATATAGGCCCCTTTAGGAGGTTGTGGAACTGATGTTGGATCAAAGCCAGCATTTTTCATTCTTACAGCAATATCAAACAGGTAATCATAACATTCACACCTGAAAAAAGATAAATGATTTTCTCAGGTAAAACTTTTTGTACAAGCCAATTAAAAAAATAAGAAAAGTAAAGAAAAAAATCAGAAAATTTCTACAAAAATATTTCCAAGTGTGTGTATGTGGTGGTGGTGGGGGGGTGTTTCACTGAAAAGTTCTCATCCTAACTACTAAAGAAAGGTTTAAAATAGGGTCGGGGGCTAAGAACTTTTCAGCGCCTACTCATAAACTTCCTCTAAAAATCAGTTTTTAACTTTTATTAAAAGTCAGCTTCCAGAATTATTGTCTGCTTTCTTCAAATTTCATGCTGAAAAGATTCATAAAAAAATCAACTACTTTCAAATTTTATTTTATTTATTTAAGTAATTTCATTATGTTTTATTAATGATAATAAAATTGAATTGAACTATTTTATTTATTAGAATAATTTCATGTTTTTATTATGAACAATAAAATTTATTCAACATAGTTTTTTTACTTATTAAAATAATTCATTACTGTTAAAGATATTATTTCCTTTGATTTTCAAATTAAAAAAAAAATATATATTTATACTTTGAAAATATTGGTGTTTCTCATAAAGATATGTCTTCAGGCAATTTTAATCATTTACTTTTTATATTAAAGTAAATATACTTGGAGGAAATCTAATGTCATATGTCTACAGACAAATATTATTACAAATGGTTTCTCCACACAAATTCAACATTAAAAAATAAAAATATACATAAAGCCATTTCCAGAGACAAATCCAATCAGCAATGAAATCAATTTATATTTCATTGTCAGAAATCTGTTGATTGATTCATTCATTTTCTACAGTTTATCAACTCCTTTTGCAGGGTATTTAAAGCCAGAAAGTATTTAATCCATAGCTAAGAAATGGATTCATATCTTATCCCAAGAGTATTTTCATGTAAGTGAATATAACAAACCCAACAGGAATTGGAATTATCCATTATACCACCTGCAATTACCAGTGCAGAAAAATTTATTTTCAAGAACACAATGTAAAAATGGAAGTACAGATGTGATTTAGAATTTTTTACGCCTAAATTTTTTTTCTCACCCTGAGCACAGCAAAGTGGAAAATATGACAACCAACTGTCACAAATTGGAATCACTAAATATGTCCTCGCCTGTGACTACAATTCCGTTCTCTCAGGAACACAACATCAAAGAAAGTTATCTGATTGAACTGTCTTTAAGAATACTGAAGTTAATATTAATGAGGTGTTAAGAATGTAAGTAGATGTTATTTTTCAGGGGATTTTTTTTTTTTACTTTATTTATTAAAGTTTACCTGCTACTATATCAAAAACTCACCTTCCTGACAAATTGACCATGGTGAAATTCAAACCAAGGTCTCAAATTTAGAAAGCCAACATTCTAACCATTTGGTGATGCACCCACAAACATAATCTATTAGAATTGACAAGTGTGAACAAGAGAGATAAAAGTCTAGAGGTTTTAGAGAAATAAGATAATATAATAGTGATGGCTGCCATCAAATATTTACTTACATAGTCTTTGCTTCTTGCCATGTCTTTCCCCATACATACACACCATGTCGACGAACAAGGACTGCACATGTTTCAGGATAGTCTTCCATTGCTTGGGCCATGGCTTCCTACAGATATGACAAATTTAGAGTTTAAAGAAGATGCATTAAAAAAAAAAAAGTGGGGTATACTTTCTTTTTTTATTTAAAATTTTAATCTAACCTGACCTTGTTTCATTGAGTCCTGACCTGGCATCTCGGCTTTAGTTACTTTCCCACTGCAATAAATTTGCTTCCCTGTGCCTTTTCTATAAATACTCATGGCAATTGTTCAGATGAGCTCTTCATTATTGTACCTAGACTTTATGAATTTAAGCACAGTACCAAATTAGCAACATGGTCTCATCATTTTACAGTTGAATTAGTTGAATTAACAGTTTCTTTTCTCACAGTTCTTGCCTGTGGAACACTATTCTGGAGACATGCTTTCTGGCCAAATTTGACCTACAAAAATTTAAATGCAATGTCAATCATTATCTACTGAATTCCTGATTACTTTTCTGTTGTTCTCATTCATTAATAATGTTCCTGTTTTCTAATTCTTTCACACCCAATAATCCTTTGTGTCTTAGTTGCCTTGCATGGAGTGAATTTAATTAAAAAAAGAAAAAAAAAATTATTTTGTTGCATTAGAGTATTTTTAACTATTAAGTCCAGTTATAAATAATTTGCATTTTTCCGTTTTCTTTGTGCTAAGAGCATATAGAACCCAAACAACCAGTTTACTGATTTACCCTATTTCTTTCTCAGTGTCAACATTTACTAGATTATATGTTTAACATCTTTGATAATTTTTTCTTAATCAATTCACACCAAGTAAGGTTTGGTTTGGTTTTTGTTTTACAGCATATCAACCTCTGTGGGTCATTTAATGCCGACAAAATTTTTATTGCTGGTAATATTTTTTTTCGAAAATGTAGTTCAAGAGTAAAATGGTGAGACCTAGTTGCCAATCTAGTAGCACATTTAAATTCATGCTGTCAGGGTACGAGGGAAAAAAAGCTTATCACAGTAGTTGCCATGAAAATATCTGTAGAAAAGAGAGAGCGAGAAGACGTGTCATGGCATTGAGGAAGTGACTGAAGTCGAGATGTCTTGTCAGGATCGATTACATTACAGAATCTTTTTTGGAGCTTGTCAATGTACAGCAGGAGCATCAGACGAGATATGGCAACAATAGGACAACCTAATACAAATCAGTAGTTAAAGCAAGGAACTGAAAAACATTACACTATATTTCTTTGAAATATCAATATTTTTCAAGATTCCACATTTTGTCTTTCTTTGTGGTCCCAAACTCTTCCAAATTTGTGTTAATTTTAAAATATCACTAAAGACTAAACAACTTGCATCATTAACAATATTGAAAATGCTTTTTACATACTGTTGGTAATTAGTTACTTAAAGTAGAATAAAACTTTAGGAATTTGTTAGAAAGAAAAACTTGTTTAATTCTAGACACAGAGGAGACACTAATTAAAGATAACTGATCTGGTCTCAACTAGATCACTATGAACAATTCTCAGTTGAGTTTAAGAATGGATAAATATAGGTACCTCCACTTTTTTGCTAAAAAAAAAAAAAAAAAAATCGTATGATGAAAAAGGCCCCAAACTTGATAAAACAAAGTTTTGTCAAAATGTTTGTTATTATTAAAAGGAAAGACCAAAGTATTTTTTTATTATTTTATTAAATATTTGAATCCTTTCTAGCACGTTCAAAATGTTCAATAAAAATTTTGTTTTTTTTGTGTCAGTGAGTGGACCAAAGATGGGAAATTTAATGTCTTTTTTGCGGTGAAAAACACATTGTTTTGGAAATTCTTGCAAAAATCAAGAAATTGTTGGATTTTAATGAAATTTTCAGGACTTATTCACAAATGAATTAAATTATTTATTTTTTTATATCTGTTATCCCCACTTACTTAATTTTATGAAATTTCAAGAAAATTCAGGAATTTTGTATTTATATTAGTTAAGAGCAGGTCTCCTTGGCGAATTTGTTTTTGTCAAAAAGAAATACCATTTACTAAAAATTGGCTCTGAATCATAAAATAAAAAATGCAATAAAACCATGACATTATTTAATTAGAAAAGCTTTTAATTGCTTTTATAAATCAAATATATTAAGGACACTATTATCTTAAGAAAACATATTTTTTCAATGAATAATGAATTTTTACAAGATTTATTTTCAGTTTTTTTTAAATTTTAATTAGAAAAATTTATTAAATTTCAAATCTTTTAAAATCTTGTAATAATTTAAACTTTTTAGATGATATTATTTAGTGAAAACTATATTTACTAAGCATAAATGGAAAAGCTTAATATAAATCATCAGACACTAATATTTTTAAAAGAATTTTGAATTTTTTTGTGTATAAATGAGCCCATTTTTGTAAGTACAGGTGACCATATACGACATTATCAGAAAATAAAACTAGTAAATTTAAAGTCAACATTTCTAAAATTTAATAAACATTACAAGAATATTTTCCTAAATTTTTAGGATTAATAAGTACTTAAAAATTATATACAAAAGGTGCTCATATCATTTTCTCAGTTTTATATAAAGTCTTTGTAGAATATTAGGGCAGCCATCAGGCTGTCAACATGTCAAATCAGCTTCTGTTGAGTTAAAAATGCTTTCTGTGATATTTTAAACTTAAAGTAAATAATATTTGTTTCAAATTAGATTAATTATACTTTAAATCAACTAATATTCCTCAAATAAAGTTTCAGAAAAGTATATTTTATTTTTTCAAGATTTTTAAAACTGAAAACTAACTTGTGTTTACAAATGTCTCAAAAATGGGCAACTTTGTCAATGTGACTGAAGAAAAAAAATAAAAGTTGATTCCAATCAATACAATTTCTGTTTGAAATACACTAGAGTATTTTGCTTATTGGAAATAGTAAACTTAATCTTTTAACTTTCAATTAAAGCTAAAAAGAAAGCTTTATCATTTTCTAAAATTAAATTAAACCTTAGATATCACAATTTTTGTGGAGGTACCTAGATAAATATTATTGGAGTTATGAAAGTAGATAACTCTTGAATTTTTACCAAAATTCTATATTCTCTGTTTGGTCTTAATGGCGTCACTGAGAATCAGTTTCACTGAGAGAGCTTGCAAATTCAAAAAAATAACAAATATCTTTAAAATGTTACCGTTAGGTCAGCTTCAAACGGTGTGTTCTCTATAATAGGCACCACAAGAACATCATCGTAGCGATAGTTTGAACCTAAAGCAAAAAATATTAAGCATGTTATCAGAAGCAATAACTTTTAAAATAATGAAAGAACAGAGATTATTAAGATAAGCTTTAGTAGTGTGTATATATATATATATATAAATAAAAAGAAAGAACAGTAAGATATATATATATATATATATATATATATATATATATATATATATATATATAAAGTAACACAAATAGTAAAATATTTGTTAAAACTGAATGTATTAAAATTATATTTGATTAATAAGTAATAAATGGTAGGAAAATTTTGTCAATTGTTTTATATTTTTTTTTTTTTTTAAATAATGTTACCCTACGGTCTGTTGGATTGATTGATTGCTTGGCTTTAATGTCATGTCAACTCATCTGAGGATATTTTACGCCAAGAGATAAATTGTGAAGGATGGTCAAATTTATTATGTTTTTTCAAGGATTTTGACTGTAAGTTCACTGCAGTGTTTGCTGCTAAATGGATTGGGAATTGCATTGAGGGATAAGTTTCTAGGGTAAAGTTCATGTTTACTGTTATATTTTTGGTATAATTTTATTTCTTTTAGGAAGGACAAATGTCATCTATACTGACATTTTTGAATATATCTCTCATGTTATTTTTTTTGTAAAAGTGTTGTCTGATAACAGCAAAATCACCATATTCTATTAGAATGTGTTTAACAGTATACAGTGTTTGACATGGTGTCAATTAACTGGTCGTTTTTTTTATTGTTATTCTTTTTACATCCGACATTTTTGTTTTTTAAGTTGATTTTTATTTCTTCACTTGCACAGGCTGATAGTTCAGGACATCTCATCACTCTTCTGGATACGCTGAGGGATCTATGTGGATGTAATGAATAACCCGAAGCGAATAAACTTAGGAAAGCTTTATTCAACTTAATACAGCTACAAAAAGAAAAGAATTAAGCTAGCTTATTTATAAGCATTTCTGGAGTCTGTCCATTACACCAAACAGGGGGAGCAGGTTGTGGGAATTACTTACAACAGTGGATATGCTTTGATTTTCATATTGTGGAGAGCGGTCAGTTTTAATAATAATTCAGCAGATTTCTTTTTTGTTATTTCCACAATTAGAGTGTTGTTGCAGGTTGTTTTTACAGATGTAGGTGCCACATTTGCTGAGAGATATCTTTCTATTGCAAAAGGGGAGAGCTTTGTAATGGCTTTGTTTTCTGTTGACTTGAGGACTATGAAGCTAGGAAAAGAAGTAGTTACTTCTTTTATGTCGCTGTCACCATGTAAACTGTGTATGTGTCTATGTCTGGATGTGGTCTCTTGGTTAATTTATGCAAGGCCATCAAAAATATTTAAATGTTCACCAAAACATAAGAGTCCAAGGGGAAGTAACCAAGATGGAAAATCCATTCAACTTCATTCAACAAAGCCACACAGACAGTATACTCATACCTAGAGAGCACTTTGGACGAATGTAAGTTGTGAATTTATACAACCCAAATACGTAGTCACTCAGATGACTGTCCAGTTTTCACAAAGTTCTTTGACTCTTGATATGATTGATCCTACAGCCACTGCCTTCTAGGTCAGATATTAGAGGCCAAAATAATTTTTTGTTTTATGGTGTTATAATTTTTTTGTAAGGGAGGGATATAAATGTGGTTGCATCGAGAGTTGTTTGTGACCTTAGGTTTCATGTTTTCGCAATCTTCAAACAAACTGGTTTATTTTTTCAAAAGTAGATCTAATTGTACTTTTTTTGTATTTGTTTACTTGTGTGTGGTGGAAGCGGTGAATTTTTTGTTCAATCTTTGTTTGGGATGACACTCACGTATACACATACATACATACAGGTGCATACATGTCAGATAATACAAACACACCCATATTCATAATCTTGGGTTAGGTGCAGTTATACATTACCATTTATCATATCAATTATTATCAATATTTCAATAATAATATCACAGCTAATATTACTATTAATATTACAATCGTTAATAACACAACTGCAGTTGTTGTTGAAAAAATATAATCATCGTCATGTCTACAGACAGAACACAACTTAACCCACATCATGGTAGTAGACCCAAATCAGTGAGTGTGAGTATGCATCTACATATGTGAGTGTGAGCATGTCTGCCAGCACAAACAGCCGATCTGAAAAAATGTCAAAGCCACCCCTACCTGTCCCCTACTAAGAGAACATTTTTACATTTATGAAACACTACAATCTCGACACCGAAATAGACAGAATGAAATTGTGTACATATGTGAGCTCAAGCAAACAACTCTTCATGTAACACCATATATATATATATATATATATATATATATTGTATAGTTGGACAGCAGTCCTCTTTTCATGACTATTTTGTTGAATATGATGGATGAGGAATATTTTATGTTTTTTTTTATTGAGTTTTTATTGAGTTTTTTTTTGACTGATAATACTCAATTTATCCATTTTTTTCCTTTTCACTCATAAAAGGACTAATATCGTTTCTTTCTGATGAGTTAGAAGACAGTGTCAAAATGCAAGGTAAATAACACAAACAGAATGAATAAAGTTTGCAATGAAACGAAAAAAGGTAAAAAAGGATGAAACAGCAAGCAAGCAAGCAAAGAATATAGTTAAAGCAAATCAAACAGGTAAGAAGGCAAAAGAATTCACAAACTATGAGTTGGTGTTTGTACATAAAACCAAGGTCGGACAAGTGAATGCAGTAGGTCTGTCCAGTAGATAAAGCAGATCTGGACTGAATCATGTCAGAACACAAGCTGTCCCATTTTACTGGCTAAGAAAAATATCCCAGTATGCATTTTGTGCATTTCTGAGGGGGAGGGGAAAAAATTTGTAGTCATTCCCTTCCTATTGGGAAATCAACATTTTCATCTGGTAAGCTATCATCAGCAGCATCTTCAAAATCTGTACATGAACTACTTTGGCCTACCCATGAATCATCTTCCAAAATTACCATGTTGGACTGGCTCTCATCAGTCATTGGTCCATTCATTTCTTCAACTAAATTATTATGATACATCTACAGGCAACAACGGTAGATACTGACATAGCTCCCACCATGTTTATTCAAAACTTGCTTGTTTTCAGTTCCTATAATTATTCCTGGTTCCTACGATTTAATTAGTTCCTCTTAAATATACTTAATCTCCATTTCTATATTTAAGAGCAGTATTGGCTCTCACCTTCTGGCACAATGTTATTCTGATTTTTTTTCAGACGATTCTACTTGTATGAAAGCCATTCTTGCTGCATTCAAGTTGTTAGCTACTACTTCACTTGGAGTTTATCAAGACAGAAGGCATGATAGAATTTTGTAAAAATATTGGTTTGGGCTATAACCATTGGCATTAGATAAAAAAAATATTTTGGGAGTTGAATTGACCAAGCAATTGCAAATTCCAAACTGCAACCAGTATTTTCCATAGTTTTGAATACCATTTTGTTAAGTATAATATTATGGTACTCATTTAATCTATTGCTCCATGGACTCTGGTGTAGTTTGTATTCAAGTTTTGAGCCTGTCTCTGATAGCTTCATAGTGGAATTCCTGTTAATTATCAGTTAGAAAACTAGGAGGTTCAAAATATGCAATCCAAAATTGGAATGTCAATAATTTCTGAACTTTATTGACTTTATTTTAGACACTACACTGTATCTGATAAAATGATATATTAAATGAAGAATTTTAGTTCCTTTAATCTCTTAGATACCATTTCATTAAAGGGTTTTGCTAAAGAGAAACTAAAAATGGGCTTTGGTTGTGCTTTATTGTATTTTAAATGACACAATTGTAAGTAATTTTCTGAAGCTTTTTCACAAGTTTAACATCAAAATCTACAACATTTTTCAGAAGAGTATTTAATTTTTTCATAATTGGGATGGCTAAATTACTTGTGAAGTTTTTTTCTCTTCCAACAGACTTCTTTTCAATATTACTAGTGCTCATCAGAACAATGCTTTCATTCTTTTTTGGGGACCTGGAGTGGCCAGACGCTGAGTTAGTGCAGTGAAGTTGCAAATTTGATAAAGCATGAACATATTGTCACTTTTAAAATTATAGAATTAGATATTTTCATAGTATAGAGGTATTTCAAACTCTTACATCAGCAGTAATTTGAACATTTTTTCCTGCTAATATACAGGGTAGCTTCAAGTTTGTGCCATCTGTAACTTGGCTTGAGCTGGGAATCCATTCAAGTTTATGCATTACTCTTTCTTCCAACTTGATGGAATTATAATCAAGGCAAGTCTGGTTGCAAAAGCCTACAAATTATCCTGACCATTATTGCAGCTTTAAGGTGGACATATCATTTTATGGTTATCAAGACAAGCTTGACATATCCACGTGAAAACTAAAATGAATGTCAGACTATTTCATAGGCTCTCATTTGAGCAAGTTTTCATCTGGAAACCATTTTGCAACCAGCTTTGCTTTGATTCTAATTCCATTCTGTTAGCCAAGGATGAAGAGTTCAATCTTTCAGAGGATTAGCATTAACAATCTCTGTAATAGTTATCTGAAAGGTAAAAAAGTATAATTATGATGGTCATTAGAATTACTTCAGTTTTCTTTAGAGATCAGTTAAACTCAGGTGTTTAACTGTTTTTTTTTTAAATTAGATTTTTAATCCCTTGTACATTTCAGATAGTATAAAACATGTTTTGTTGAAGTTAAAAAAGCAACCGTAGATATTAGCCTTTTTAAAGTGATATTATTTGTTCTATGACCCTATGTCAACTTGATGAACAAATTTTTAGGGGTTAAAATTATCAAAATTTATGTTTTTTGACAGATTTTCTCTAATGCATGATAAAAGGTGGGGCTGCAAGTTTTCTCTGCAATTGCTCAACTGTGATATACGTTTTCTAAGACCTCTGATTAATTCACTTGACTGCTACTGATTTCTGCACATGTGTACTTTGTTTATATAGACTCTGGTCTAGGAATAGACATGATTAATTAGATTCTCAAACAAAAAAAAAACTCCTGTTATACAACTCAGATGGCTGTACTATTTAAGTCCTATTCAATTTTGACCTGGATTTTTAAGTTTTCAAAATTTACATTGAAATCAACATGAATATACTAGATAGGTCACTAAAGAAAAAACAAACCCTAAATTTACCGAAAATACTGTGGACTTTTGGCAAACTCATTAGTCATGTCATGCTAACTTCGTTAGGGTTATGGAGTTGGGTTGGGGGTGTCAGGTATGGTTAATCTTACTAAATCTTATTTAGTTTATGAGTTCAAACTCTTCCGAGGCTTTCCTCATAAGTATTTTATTAGTTTAAATGAATATTTTTAAAATGGACATGTTTTTCCATTCAACTCGAATTCAATTAAATCTTCCATATTTTCTTCTTTTAATATCTTTACTCCTTTGCTGAGAATTATTCAACCTTTACCCGACTAATTTCTTTCTAGAGTTGTCTCCCCTGCCACTGATTTTTTTTTGAGGGTGCAAAAACATAAACACCGACTGTTTTAAAATTGTTTAACTTTCTTTGTATTGTGTGTATAAATTTTAATTTTTGTACACTAATAAAAGAATGGATGAGTAATATTTTGATGTAATGCATTAAGTTTTGCATGCATGTTTTGATGTTGAAAACAAAAAAAAAAATTGAAAAACAAAATAAAAAACAAATATATTAACAATTCAACATAACTTTTATTACTCCTTCCTGGAGTAATCAGTGTTACACAGTATGTAGAGTCTAGAAGAATTCAAAATGGCACCAGAAAGGGAAGTTTAGTAGGCGATTTCAAAATGGCACCAGAAAGGGAAGTTTAGTAGGCAATTTCCAGCTTAAAATACCGGAAATAATAGTTGAGAAGTGTTTATTTATAGCAACTGTCTCAAGGTGACATAATGCGCCTAGAGAAGCAAAGGGAGAGAATTCTACGGTGACAGCTTTCACCTCCAGCATGCTACAGGTTAAGTCTCTCAGTACCTCAAGTAACTAGTCATTAATGGATTTTTTAACACATCCGTAAAATATCTGGCCAGCTGTGCCTGCATGACCAGGTTGTCTCTTTTATCTAGACTTGTGTAGGCCACCCTGGCTAAAGCCAGTAATCAGCCTGCCAGCACTGATATCAAATCACCCACCTTTTGTTAAATTCTAATCGACACCCTAGCACCTTCCAGTCATACTGGTATAGTTTCCAAACTGGTTGGTCCATTTCTTCTCAACTTCATCCCAACTCAGTCTCTTTTTTCTTGTCCAGGAGATATCTCAGCCATTCAGACACAGGGACCTTCATATAGTCTAGCCATAATCTGAGTTTAACTGCCTTACCTATAAAGACAGGCATTTTCAATTCAGCCACATTGAGTTTTGCCATCAACTGCTTTGTCGTCTCATATGTGGTTTCATTCTGTTCAGCCATGCTAGATTTATACACAGACTAGTTAATCAAAGCTAAAGAAAATCATGGAAGCCAACAAAAGGAAGTCTGATGACAACACACGATTAAACAGGAGAAAAGTAAAACATTTTAAGAATGTAAGAAAATGAAATTCTTTGACCAACAATGAATCATCTCTGCCTGTCTCATTTTGCCACCAGTGATCTCTTCTCTCTTTCTTTCCTTTTTCCTTCATTTGATGGGTGCTTTTGTCAAAGTCTGTTTGTGATTTTCATGTCACTATTATTGCCTGTTTCTTCGTTTTCCCTTGGTTGCTGTTATAATTGGAGTTTGTATTTCTTTTACCATTTTATTCCTTTGCCATCTTTTCTTCCTTATCAATAATCAATTCGCCTCTCTCCTTCACAATCTTGTGGTTATCGGCACCAAATAACCAAACCTCTGTCCGTAATCACTAGGCATAGCTGATACTTGTACTCATCATCAAATACATATAAGCAACACTTTGGTGAAGATGGTTTGTAGTCGGTGCAATCAATTTTGCTGTTTCCTTTCCTTCACCAGAATCTATTTCATCTAGTGGATTTCATTCGTTGTGTACCTGCCAAAAATTAATGTTCAGCACAGTCCTTTATTCATCTTTAACAAAAGCCATGGCTTTGTTGATATGGATGAGATCTTGAGCGTACTGTTTCTTAAACATTGGAGGATCTCGCTGAAAAAGGAGTGAATGTGCCAACAGAAGAAATGACACTGTGTGAAAAATTAACAACAATTAAAGATGAAATGTAAAAATTGTACAACAGCTAAGGGGCTATTTTGTCCCAAACATACCTTTTCTACTCTTAAAGCACTGAGTAACTTGCAGATTTTCTCTAATATATGATCAAATACAGGGCTGCCATCATTCAACCAAAGGCACATGGTCTAAAAACCTCTGGGTAACTCACAAACTCTACTGATTTCAGTGCATGCATACTCCATTTATATAAACTTCAGTCCTGCAATAGACTTAATTAATTAGCTTCTCAAAAAAAAAGAACCTCTTTTATATAACCCAGACTGCCATACTATGAAGTACTTTTCAATTTTGGCCTAGATTTATAAGTTTTCAAAATTAATATTGGAATTAACATGAATATGCCAGATATTGCAAAAAAAAAGCCCTAAAATTACAGAAAATCCTGTGGTACTTTTGGCAAATTCATTAGTGATGTTATGCCAACTTCATTGGAGTTATGGAGTTGTGTCAGTTATGCTGACTCTTACTTCATTTAAGAGTTCAAACTCTTCAGACACCCTCCTTATAAGTAGTTTATGGGCTTAAATTAATATTTTCTAACATTTAAAAAAAAAGTATTCATTGGAAGTACAAGCCAGAAACTTTGCTAATTTGGGGATGATGAATTCAACAAAACAGCTCTTTTTCTCTGCAACATGAACACCTCTTGTCATAGATTGTATCTAATTTTGGAGAAATTTGTGAAATGATGCAATTTTTAAGTTGTCAAAAAGAGACAGCAATGACTACAAAACTTAGAAATTTATTTCATAAAATGAATCATTGGTCAATCCTTCAAACAAATGCTTATTACAAAGCTTTAAACTCATTTATCTTGAAACTAAAAGAATGAAATAAAAATACATTTGTTGGAACTGATGAAAAAAACTTTCTGGACAGTTGGAATGGTCTTCCTACATTTCCTCTTCTAATAGCAATTTGAAGTTTGAATTTGTTTATAAGCCTTTAAGAGATTTCTATGGTGTTTTATCCACTAGTTTTCAACTTAGAAATATTTTGTGAAAGACAACTTCAAACTCTATCTTAAGCAGACCAAATTGTCGAGCATCCTTCTTTAAAATGGGGCAATTTTTATGTGTAGGGAGACATAATTTATGTGTAGAGAAACACAGTTCAAACTGCAACAAGTTTTAAAAACACCACTATGATACTGATAACTTTGAAAATGCAGAAAAAGAGCTGCCCATCATTAAAATAGTGATGTAGAATAAAAACTAATCATTATGCAGAAGAAAGAATTGTATCAATATAAAGAGAAAAGAATAATTTTTTTTACATCCTAAGTTTACAAAAATAGGTAGAAAATAAGATATCAGCAGTTGAAATTGAAGGAAATTTCACTATTTTGACAAGTTTTTGTAGTGTAAACTAGGGTAGCTTGGGATACTAAAGTAAGTTTTATAATCTGTGTGTCACCTCAGCACATCAACAAAGCTAGATGCCTCTGAGGGTTGAACTAGAAAAATGATTTTCAACTGCCATGTCATAAAATACTGTCATTTCTAGTGATCAAGAGCTCAAAATAAAATATTCGACAGTAGCCATTTTGGATTTCAATACAAAAAGAATCTCTCACATTAGCTAAAAAGGCTTTAGCAGTTTTATTGCAATTTTCTACTTATTTATGTGAATTTGGCTTCTCAACCCTAAATAACAGCAAAAATAAGAAGCGAAAAAGACTACGCTCAAATGAAGAAGAAATGAGGGTATGCTTATCACACATTTGACTAAACATTGAAGAAATTACAAAAAAATACCAGGCACAGATTTCACGCTAAATAAGCTTCACAAATAGTTGAATAGAAACTTTGAAATAAAGTAACTTCATATTTGTGCATGTATTTTTTAAAAAATCTATAGTTTTATTTCATGGCATTTAAATGTCTACCCTTTAACAATTTTGCTAAGGGTGCTGTGATATTTTCATTTGCTCCTAGGTGTGCTGTTGCATAAAAAGGTTGAGAAACACTGATCTAAAAGGTGACCTCCTAGCCACCAAGTGTAGAATTGCACATCAAAAGACATTAGTGGTTCTATCAACATCAAAGGAAATCAACCCAGCTGAACTTAAGATACACACACAAAACAACAGGATGACAAGAAACGCAAACACCCAACCCATAAGGGGTAAGTTAGAGTCCCTCACATTCATGCAAGAAAAAAAATGAATATCAAAGAAAGTCACTCCATACTACACACCCTCCATGGCTGATGTTAATCTGACAGAATCCAGAGTAAAATAAACAATTATGTCACCTATGAAAAATTCAGTTTCATATTCTTAACAGATGATAGCATAACATTAAATTTAAGAATTTTATACTGATGAAATCATGGTTTTGTAATAATTAAATTCACCAAAAGCATAAACACACTGCAATTCATTTTTTTTTATACCTTTTCATACTTCATAGATTTCAAACTATTCAACAGTTTTCTGTCCTAAATGTCAATTTCATGAAGTCTTAAATTTAGCTATATGTTTTAAGTTAGACAACACTAGTTATTGTTGATTAGTCACTAGTTTAATGCACAAGTATTGAAACAAACTCACCAGATTTGCATTTCTTGATTCCCTTTATAACTTCAATGTGACTGATCTGAAATTCTTTTCCTTCATAAAACAATGTTGCCATCAAAGCATTTTTTGAATGTGAGTGAATCACAGAACCTGCACCTGAAAAAGAAATGAATGAATGATTTTTATATATTAAGACACATTAACATTAGAATTGGAATTCCTTCTCCTTTTTGAAATACTAATGTTTTATTAATTAATGTTGATGATAACAATTTTAATGTGTCATATGCAATTAAAGGAAATGCAACAACAACAATCAAATTAAAGATGTTCACCATGGATTGTTGGAGAGATCCAACCCTTATCTTATTCATGTTACATCAAAATACATTGGGTCAAAATTGTGTATGATTTGTTAAACAGCAGCTCACACAGTTCAAACTCATAATGTTTATTAGTTTAAGATAGCAGGACTTGAGAATTTTTTTCCTTGCATAGAAATTTGATGATATATTTTCTGATTTGATAAGTGTAATGTTCAGTTATATCTTCTCTAAAATATTGCCATTTTCCTTCTAGGGTCCATGGAACAACAAGGGTCTGAAATGTGTTCAAATACGATTTTTTTGTGTCTATATCATACTTAAAACTCAAGGTTGTGTGTGTGTGTGTGTGTGTGTGTCTGTTCGTTTATATATTGGATCAGATTTCCTACATTTTTCAACCAATTTCAACAAAACTTCACAGGACTACGTAAAATTACCTTGAGGTGGTTCTAAGTGCCAAAAATTGGAAAAACACAATTGTTTTTGCACGAAATCAATTTGAAAACACTATTAAGAGGCATTGCGAAAATGAAAGGGGGACAACTCATATCGAGTTATACTTATAAAATCCAGGTTGTTTGTGTGTGTGTTATCGTTTATATATGGGATCAGATTTCCTACATTTTTCAACCGATTTCAACAAAACTTCACTTTTTTTTTGGCAGATAGTGTTTCTTATTGTCTTGCACACTTTTTTCTTTATTTTTACATTCAGAATGCTTTAAAAATTCCATTTACAAGACAATTGTTTATAATTAAATTCTATTCAATTGGTAGACTCATAACGATTGAAAATAATGTTTTTGTTTGAGTTTGGGTTTGACCAATTCGTAAAAAAACAAAAAAAAAACTAATTAAGACATGCGTGTCCGTCAAACTTAAACAATAATCTTTGTCAATTTTATTTTTCAGTCTTTATGATGGTCGATACTTGATCTATCTCTTAACTGTTACATCCCCAAGCCATGCCAGGCTCTACTGCTAGAGATAGATATAACCAAATAAACTTATTTCATGGAAGTCTTGACTATCTAGAAAAGATCCAAATTGGGAAATGTTTAAAATTCTGAAAATTTTGAAATCAGATGCCAACTGTTTCTTCTAGACAACACACTTTTCCAGTCCTTGTAAAAACACGCATTATATTCTACACGATTCACTAGAATACAACTACTCCTACGAAGTGTTTTATGTGCTATAAATCATCTACAACAAACATCTCAAAATATGGCTGATGCACAAGAACAACAAAATATGAAATTTAATCAATAATGAGCAGTTCCTGAAACCTACACACTGAACTTAATCCAGACTAATAAATCTTTTAGTCTTCACCATCGACATATCCAATCCAATAAGACTCCACAAATCAACTTATCCAACTACAAATCAACAACTGATGAACAAACAATATTATCCAAAGGGCTATCTTTTTGCTGGTCCAAAAATCTGGATCCCTTGGATTTCTGCTACGACTTAGAAAACTTTCTCTTAACATAAGGGAATACTTTTTCACCACCTCCAACAACCATGAATGTTCTATCACCTATGTCAAAACATACATTAAACCACATAAGTCTACACACTGGAGTCCACCCAACAGACGCAACTACCACATAGATTTGTACATAAAAAGTGACAGAAACCACCAAGACAAATTCATACAAAGCAAACTCCATCAAAACAATATCACCAAACAGAAATGGACAGCTATAAAATCCCTCCAAGCAAAGACATAATTATCAAACAAGCCAACAAGAGTAGATTAATCACCATTATGGATAAAAGTAAATACATTGCTGAAGGATGATTCAATGAGCAAATCACTGACAAAATTTCGGTATAAACAATTCAAACTTGAGTGATAATTCAGTGAAATCAATCCGAAAAGGCCTTCAAGAAAGTGGAATAGCCAAACGTGTTGAATATGTGTGGACAGCAATTGAAGGAAGTTGGTAAATGACAGTGCAAGAAACAGAAAATCTGGGAATTCCACAGAATGTTTGGAAAGTAGGTCACCATTTTGAAGAACTCAACTGAGTTTTTTGGTAAAACATTGCATAACGCAGATCTGCTGTCTTTAAATTTACCTACCTGCAATTTCCAAACCTAAAATCTTGAAAGACAGATTTTGGATCATGAAAGATTAATAAAAATGTAACAAGGCAGCTGACGGTAAAACTAAAAGTGAATTTTTTTAGAAGTGATTGATTGATTGTTTTTTTTACAGATTATCAACCTCTGTGGGTTATTTAAAGCTAAAATATAATTTCGATTGTAAGAATAGTTTTTTCCATTTTTTTTTTTGAGTGAATATTGCACTAATAATTATTTGAAAATAATGATTTTTCCAGATACATTTCTTACTATTTAACCCATAGATAGGGAGAGTGGATGAATTCATACCTTTCCAATAGTAGATAAGATTGCCTATCATCTGGTTCCTACTCCTTTCCAATTTTTTGAACAGGAGTAGAGGTTTATCCCTTGTTTCCTGTACCTTTCTAAAGTCTACTTCAAGTCTATACTTTTAATATCTCCGCCTGAACTCTGAAATTTTATTTGCTAATTAAATCTTACATCTAGAATTAGCTGTCAATCTTTTCTGTTATCTTGCCTTTTCTTACACTAATACACCTCCACACAGTAACTCTCTACCTTGAGTGACTCTTGGGCCTTGTACTGGGTTGAACTTTAGTAAAAAAAAAAAAAAAACATGAATGTAACATGGTTTTAAAAGAGAAAAAGACATAAGAATAAATATGTGCATTCATTTGATTACCCATTGTAGGATTTGTTGAGGTGTTAAGTGTACAGCAGCAACAACTTTGAATGTGTCTAGGGGCAAGGTAACCTGATGGATCCCATTATTCTTCAAGCTGATATTGAAATAAATGTTACCCTCCTGCACTAACAAGTCTAAAGGACTGAGTCTGTCCAAACAAACCAGCCATAATTGTAGGGAAAACAAATGACTTGATGACTTTTCCAAGGACATTTGTATAAAATAGATACAAACAATCTCAACTGGAATCTGAACTTGGCTCACCAATTCCATTTTCCCTACCAATAACCATTATGGCAACTACAGTTCTTTCCTATGTCCCTCTTACCATTAATGTCCTGTGAGTGTCAAATTTTCTAAATCCTCTTTCCTCATTATGTGCCCTAGTAATTGCAACAGACTCTTTCTGATGTTAAGTATGTGTTTTTTTTTCATTTTCTCTAAAACATTGTCATTGCTCACATGTTTGATCCATTTGGAAAAGCATCAATCCATTCCTTCCCTAACTAGATATGGATTAAATAGTTGGATAAAGTCGGCTCTTTAGCCTTAGCTAGTAACCAGACTAAGAAGAGGACTACTTAATTCCAAACTGGAGAGAAAGCAACGAGAAATCAAGTATCTTTTCCGAGAATTTATGGCAATTCATAGACAATCAAGAGACTCTGTCGAGAGCCATTAATGTCTCCATCCTGAAGGAAAATGGCTTCAAATTAAAAATAATAATAATAATGATGCTCGTATGTTTTATTATATTTTAGCAATTATTAAATATTGATTATTAAATAAGTCCGATATAAAATATTTTTCATATTTTTTCGAAAGAAAAACAAAATTAAGTGGAAAATACTGACCCCTTAAAGTATAAGCATTCATAAACAAGGGAGTACACTGGCTTTTTTTCAGTTTCTTCTGCGGTGGAGGCTCACAAGTTACGTCCCCTTTAATATTGACAACAAACAAATCTTCAGGCTGCCAAAAAAGAAAATGCAATATTAAAAACAATTACACAATAGCTATGACTCACTACAATTTATCCAAATCCATTTCGAGTTCATTTAGACAAACTCCTCATCATGATACCAATAAATTGAATACTTTTTAAAATTTAATTTTTTAATGTACATTTCATATACTAGCAAATATAGTAAATATTTTGTTTTTTCATCATTTATTATTAGAATCATTGTTATTTTGTAGTTTAACTTCTTATATTTCTATAAATAGATCTTTTGAACTTCAACTTTTCATTTCTTTGTCCTGATGCTATTTTCTAATGTTGACAGTAAATAAGATATTTCTTGCCAAAATGCATGTTTTAATAAAATACAAGTAGGAATAATCATTATGCTAAATTTCTATAATAGGGAATTACTATAATTTACATTCAGACTGTTGTCATCATTTTTATTATTATCACAACATTTTAGCCTAGATCTCCTCTGTATGAAGGCTACAGAACACAACAACAAAGGTGAAGACTATAATCCAAATGCAAATAATGTAAACACTATTCTACCAAAGCTTCATAATTTTACATACAAACCTTTATGAACTCCTTCTGTACACCAGATGGAGCAATGTAAATTTCATCACTGCAACAAGAAATAATACGTTTTTATACACATTGATATTTTATAGTCTGATTTCCATATGTGCATGCGCGTCTGTGTGTATATGTATATATTATTATTATATTTTTATAATAAGAGATTATAATAAAAACATTTTGAAGAAGACATGTTATCATTGATGATTGCAGAAAATAAGCCAGTGACAAATGTATAGTGATCCCGGTTTATCGTGACATGAAAGAATAATGCACCCATCTCCACACCTCTGACCTTACTTTTCTATTTAGCGTAGATCTGATATTTAATTGTTTAATCAAGACATACCCACAACTTCAGAAAAGAGGTAACATTTTGCTTTTAAATTTCCTTAAAAATCATTTAATCACCAGTTACTATTGCCTGAAGAAGCACAATCAAAGTATTGAAACATGAAAGCTTAAAAATGTTTTTATTAGAATTTCTTATAATAAAAATATAATAATAATAATATATTGCTCTACTTTGTATTGAGCACTTTTTTAAAAGTAAATGCTACGAACAGTGGAATTTTATTCCATCTGTTCTTTCTCTCATTTGATATATATATATATATATATATATATATATATATATATATACACACAATACTTACCCAAAGAAGAAATATATTTAGAAAAACTTTTAAAAACCTATAAGATAAAGAACAAATAGGAAATCTTTATTAATCTAACATGTTTCACTTATATTAAAGGTACATCAGAGAATGAGATATTTCTTGTGTTACTCTCTAATATCTGTACCTCCTGATTTGGAAGACTCAGAAAATGCAATCTGCTTCACCTCCCCACTAGAAACCCTGTTTCAAATAAAACAAAGAAAACATTTTGATAAATACAATACAATATTATCTGTATCTCAATTTTCCAGACTTTGATTATTTGCATGTGAAAAACTGAAATCATCTGAACATTTTTCAATTATCCAAACTAAACCCATTCTGATATTTCTTCTCAAACAAGCATTTTGAGAATTTAGAAAACCATACTCAACATTTGATAAAACTAATTCTTGTTAATTTCATCCATGTTTTCATACAAAGAACATACATGTCAATTCAGCTTTGGGAATTTAGCAGGAGAAAAATGCAAGGCCAGCCAGAAATGGAAAAAAAATTATGCAATTTTTCATCAAAAATAAACTGGAGAAAACCGAAAACAAACCATCTGGAAATGTTATTTGATAATATATAAATGTTGGATTTATTTCAAAAACGACATTTTTTTCTTTCTTTTTCCATAATTTAGATATTCAATTATCTAAAAACAGATTTTTTATTTATTAATTCAAGATTTTATCTGTTTAAACTTTATTTTTAGTGGATATTTGTATTTGAATAGATGGCTTATTTATTAAATAGTATTTTTATTTATTTTCATCTACTAGCCTGAATATTTGAGAAATCTTATTAAAGTAGAATATGCGCTCTTCAGCAGGATTTGAACCCATGTCCCTCTGGCTGGAAGGAATCATTGTTTGATCCAACATGCTTTATATCAACTGAGAACTTAGCTGATCTCAAGTACTGCTGAATAAAACAAAATTGTTCTTGTCATAGACACTCAAAATTTTCACATCTGCTTGGTAAAAATAATGTTTAAAATGAACAAATATATCATATAAATAAATAAAAAATCCATTACTTCTTTAGAAAATTGCTTTGTTTACATTTGGATATGAAACTGAGCAGATATAAAAATTTCAAGAGTCTATGATGAGAAGAATTTTGCCTAAAGATGCTATTCAGCCTTGCATGATAGTTCTTTGTAACTCAGTTGATTGAGAACATGTCAGCTCTAACAACAGTTCTGTCTACCCAGGGGTGTGCAGGTTCAAATCCTGCCTGAAAGTGCATATTTTTCTTTTTTTAAAATCTCTCAAATATTCAAGGCTGCTAGACTAAAATAAATAAATATACTGTTTAATAAATAAACGAAATGTCTACTCAAATGTGAGTAGCCACTAAAAATAATGTTATATTTATAAAATATTCAATTATCCAGATTTTTTAATTATCTGAACATTTTTTTCAATCCCTGTCCCATAGAGGGTGTCCAGGTAATCAAGGAATATGCATGTGTACATAGATAGATAGACATACGCAGACAAGAGAAAGATAAATATAAATGAAATTTTCTTATACTTGTGTTTTATGCTGACCCCACCACCTGTGCCTGTACACCAACCAAGATGGTAAAACTGTCGACATAATTCTGGTATCAGATATGAAGGGTGCTCCTGTTAGGAGAAAAAAAAAAGAGAAAAGAAAGAAAAAAAAATCAATAATTAGGTAAAATATATCAATAAATTAAAAAGTTTTAGAAAATATTAGTAAAATGCCCACCAAAATTATGAAGACATTTTTTTTTTTTTAGCAATCAAGACTCTTTATAGCACTGAAGATTCAAAATACTTCACATATAATAATATATAAATGTTATATATATATTTTATATTTATTATATTTTATAAAGTACTTTATATATAATATATACTGCATCACATTTGTGGTAAATGGTAATACCTTTAAAGCAGAGAAATTTAGTTTTGTCAACCAAAATTTCATGAAGTAAAATAAGTTTGATTTTCAATTTCTTAGAGTCTTTTTGCAAAAATTTAATTGCTAATATATTTAGATAATTTTTGTTTTTTAGTGTAGGCTGAATGATACACAAATTATTTTCTTACACTTAAATGAAATGAAACAAAATTGATCATTTTTAAATAATTTTTGTTTTTTCATGATACTTATAGAAAGAAATTTGGATTAGTTTGGGAAACATAAAGCTAAAAAAATTAATTAAAATTTAAAAAGCAAAACAAATAAAAATTAAATAAAAGTTAAAAAGTAAAATGACTACATATTGGATTTTGCAATTTAATACCTAAAATTTATTTAACATATGTCAACAATCAATTTGTATACTGATAGTAAAAAAGTATTGTCAGTGACCAGGAATTGATGCAATCATTTTGAACAGAATAGGGAATTATATATATATATATATATATATATATATATATATATATATATATATATATGTAAAATTATGAAAAGGAAGACTTTAAAGATTCATGTTAATAGTTTATTTTGTTATTTCTCAGATCTAATTCATCAGACCATATATATGTCTGATTAAATACATTACAGCAGACATTATGTCTGCTAATTTTTAACAAAATCTGTTTATACTCATGAATAACCTTCCGTGTGCTATAGCTATTTAAATTTCTTTTATTTTTATTTCCCAAGTACTTTCGATCTTCTTCCAAGATCATCTTCAGGAGTGGTTTTTTTTTTGTTCTTTCCTCAATCCTCCCCATACTAAGTCTTTTCATTCTCTTTCACTTTTACTCCCTATAACCACCTGCTGTCTAGTGGCATTGTCGCCTTGAAAGGGGTGAAACAATTAAAAAAAAAATACATGTTATTGCATTACTAATCATTTTACTGCATTGAAAATCAAGAAGTTAAGAATTAATACAGGTATGAATCAAGAATTAATACAGGTATGAATCAAGAAGTTAAGAATTAATACAGGTATGAATGATAATATAGGGTTATTAAATGTGGCTCTTAACTTTCTGCCATGGCTTACTTTCTACTTGGTGTATTGAAATCTAACAAAGATTTTAGTATTTAACCAAGGCAAAACATAACATATACAATTAAAGGAAATCATGTGACAAGTAAAAATTACTAATTTACTTCTAGATATTAGAAAATCTGTTACATTTTCAAACAATACATATAGGGTGTGTGGGTGGTGGAATGGATGTGAGCTTGGAATGAGAAATTGGAAAGCCAAGTTCAAACTCCAGTCAAGCTTGTAACACACACTTATGCACAAATACCTTTGGGAAGTGGGGAAGATATGACTCCATCTTTTCTCTCCCCCAACCATTTGTGGGTTAAATAGCAGAGCACACTGGGTTTTCTAAACACAGTTGTGAAAAAACAATTGAGATATTGATATTTAAACTTTGTGACTATTTTCCAAAATTCACGTTTTTGGAAACGGTTAAAGGGTCAAAAGGGTCAAGAACCCTTTGACCTAGAGATGTAAAATAGGTACCATTGAATTTATATCATGAAGCTCTATAAGTGTAATTTATTTATTTACATTGTTCAGACTGTTGTCCTCATCTTTATTGCCATATTCACAATGTTTCAGCCATTGTACACTCTTGCCTTCTTCAGGTGATTGAAATTTTGAACTGAACCCTTTATTTTGTCCATCAGGGTAGACTGTTCTAATTCCACGTGCCATGCCTCTTCTGGGTATCTCAGTTATCTCCCTTTAACTCAACTCTTCAAGATTTTTGTTCACCACTGTACTAGCCAGGTATCAAATTCACAACTCTTTGGATCAAGTCACTGGATCTAACCAATGCTTTTATCCACTGGGTCATGAAAAAAATTTGTGTCAGCGATGGTCAGACGCTTGTTGATTTGACATGGAATGACTCGGCAATCAGTTTAGGAGGACAATCCTACATCCAAAACTGTAATGACTAAATTACAGATTTCCTGTTGGCAAGGTATAGCACCCGGAAGCCGCCCCTGCCAGGATCATGGTAAAGGCAGGATGTTAGACGTGGTGAATGGTAAAATCTAAGAGATCAAATTTGGCATTGAAGTTCAGTGATGCAAAAAGATCCTTCATAATGGACAGTGGATGAGATGTAATTATTCTGCGGGAACAAGTAGTAGTGATTTGTATCTCCTAATATGTGTGTGCACCCAAAACTCCTAACTTTCACACTGAAAACATAGGTTCTCATTTGATCACTGAAGTAGCATTGAGTGCAGTTAGTATTTAGATGAGGAACTGCTTGGGAACACCAGGTACTGTAATTAACCACCTACAATCCAAAATATGTTTCGTCTTTAAATAACCCACAAAGGTTTGATGAGTTGCAAAATTAAACCTCACAAAAATCAATTAAACCAAAATTCTTAGGATGACACACATAAAAAGGAGCAGCAAGATGCATATGAATGCTATGGGACATCCCAAGAGATGACCTTAGTCAGTTGGTTGGTTGGTCAGTTACAATTATAATTACTTGTAAAAATACTTTCAAATAACGTTTTCATTTAAAATAGGTTAATACATTTGGGTTGAATAGCCACATGCTGAAGTAAATGGATATGCAGCTCAGATTGAAGAATCAGAGAGCAGAGTTCAAATTCCAGTTGAGTTCATTACATTCACTTATGTGTAAATACCCTTGGGAAAGGTGTGAATCCATCTCTTCTCTTACCAAGTTATGGGTAAATAGCAAGACAGACTGGGTCCTAAAGCTTTGGGTGGCAACCAGTCTAAGAGGAGGACAACTCTGAATTCAAAACCTCCCACTATGGGTTTAAATAGCCTTACTAACCTGTAGTTGACCAGGCTACACCCTTGAAGAAATGCTCAATCAGGCCATAGGCCGGATCTGTTCAAATGACCTTTTATTCCTGCTAATTTTAATATTGAAAGAAATGGTCACATACTAAAATAGTTCTGCAATACAACTTAATGGTGCATATTTACTGTAGGAGAGAAGATGACTTACTCCATGTGGCAAAGTGAGCACATATATGCCTGCTGTGCAAAATGAGTGAAGGAAAGGAAAAAGAAATATGGCCACCCTAACACCTTAATTTAAGAAAAACAGGAGAATTGGCAGGAGTGGTTGGGCATATGCAAATTTGTTGTGAGATAAGCTAGGCATAAAACATCATGTACAAAAGAAAAACGATGAGGTACTTATGAATGTGGTACTGTGTATACAGAGAGACTTTGTCGGTTGTGAAAGCGATTACTTGGCTCAGTTTCACACAAGCTATTTTGGCAAAAATGATGGAGGGGAAGTTTGACCTCAAACTCATCACTGAGTTTGACAGCTCTGTGTCAGGACCATCAGTGGTCAGTTGGATTGAGAAGGCTGTGTTTGTCTTTAAGATATGCCTGATGAAACATCCAGAAAATGTAGTTTCCTTAAGGCTGATAGTGTGTTTGCTGTCTACCTGCAGATGAGAGAAGAAAAGGAGGATTTCAGCCAGATAAAATCTGCACTGTACATAGCTTTTGTTATGGATGTTTTCTGGCTTATGAGCAATTTGCTGAGCAATGGCTCTGTCCCAGGGAATCGATGGACGTCTACCTGGCAGAGTTACAAAAACTTTCAGTTCTGTTCAGTGGAATGAGTGATCGTGGCCTGGCATGTGCATTTGTGCAAAGGTTACCAGACCAGGTTAAACGTCTTCTTTGTTCTTTGACCTGGATGGATGAACTGTCTATCGACCAGCTGTTGGCTTGAGCACTAACAATCATGAAAGATGAGGTAATGGAAGAGAGCCTGGCAGTTGCAGTGGTACAAACAATACGGGGTGTGGTGAGGAAGCTTCCTACCAGGGGTCCACATGGCTCCATAACATGCCATCATTGCAACAACCACAATCATTTTGCAAAGGACTGCACACCAGACACCACGGATACAATGTTACAAGTGCAATGCGATGGGCCATGTATTCTGCAATTGCCCAGGAAATGAACCAGGGAAATAGGCCTCAGCACTAGTCTACTCCCCAAGTCCCAATTGCTGTCTGCATCAATGGAATCAGGTGTTTAGCCTTGCTAGACACAGGGTGTTCATGGTTGCTCATAAGCTGAGGAAAGAAGTGGATGTGCTCACTGTTGGTGAAAAGACCCCGAGGTGCTCTATAGAGGACTTGTTCAACTTGACATGAGCAACAGGTGTCCTATTGATGTTGAGGTTCTTGTTGTAGATGGAAAATTGCTGGGGTTTGATCTGCTGCTCAGGTATGGTGTCATCAAGAATTTGAGAGGAGTATGTATGACCAGTGATGGGGCTTGACCAACACTTGTGTGCAGCCATCACCATGAACGAGCCTGACTTCCATGCGGAGTATGACCAGAACAGGAATATCTGGGTTGTGTCTTGGAAATGGTCTGGTGTCCAGATTCCATCTGTGCTGAAGAGCCCAACAGCTGAGTATCTAGTACCAAAGCCGCTCAGGGAGGAGTATACTTGCAAGCTATAAATCTGAATGGATAACAGCTGGCTAATTCCATATCCTGAGGAAGAACTTGCCCCCACAAAGTGCCTAATCCCTCTAATGGCTGTGCTGCAGGAAGATCCGCCTGATCATGGATTATCGGGAGCTCAATCAATATGTTGACATGCACACAACTAATGCAGATGTTTGCATGCAAAAATTGAGG